ATTCTGGGAGTTGAAGTCCACCCATCTTAAAGTTGCTGAGGTTGACGAACCCTGCATTAGTGTACTTGTTAATAAAAACACTACAAAAAAGGCAATCTTGGTGTCATTGTGGGATGGACCATATGAAGTTTCCTTTTTTGGTGTGTGTTAGCAGTGTGGGAAAACACCACACAAAAAAGATTCTCGCCATATAGCACATACACTGATTTTTCTCAGCATGAGGGTATCTGTAAAGTACACAAAGAACCTCAAAGAACAGAAAAGTGTTGGAAGCTGTCCAACAATGCATGAGTTCTGAAATTAATTTAGAAATTACCCAAGGGCTGGACATTCGAGTTTAATAACAGGGAAATCTAAGTTTCATTCTTTCGGTTATAACTATTTTGTAATAGTATTTTACCACTGGAGATTCACAGCTGGATCTTCTTCCTTTATTAGTTAAGGGAACAGTCTCCTCGCCATTTATTCATTCAGCCATGAATAAAAGACTAAGAAAGTATCCACTGTAGGAACTTGAGAGATAAATTTAATAAAGTCCAGTTGCTGAGATTTCGGTAATCGGATCCCATCCTCTTTCAATAAATCTTGGCAAAGAAGCTCCATGAGAATCTTGTTTTCTGTGGAGATGGGGTGACCAAGAATGATGGGGTAGCCAAGAAACATCATGGGGAAAGCTGACATTTATCTCAGAAGAAGACAAATGTCTTACGCAGGGGAAAAGTAGTAAAAGTGAATTTTCCTTTGAATTGAATTTGACTTCTAGTAAATTCATGGTTATGATCATATCGTTTTCTTGGCAACTTGGTTGGCTATTGTCTTCTGTGATCTTTCTTCATTTTTCTAGCGTAACATCCAACTCTGGATTTCCCTGGTTAATTCCCATCCAAGATTGAAACAGCTGTTTAGCTTCCAAGACCCCCAGAAATGTCTTAGATGTATTAATAGCTTTGCTCTTCTCCCTGTTTTTTTCACTGGATTGACCACTTTTTAAATTGGCCATTAATTGACCATTTAAAAAAATTCTTTCTGTTTCTGTTTCACCTGGTTGGGGGGGGGGAATGAAAAGACCTTTTTTAAAAAAAAGTATGGGTAACAGTACCTTTTGGAATGATGTCAGCACTGTAGGGTCTTAATAAGAAACTTACAAGATTCGCAGAACTAATGGCTAATATTTGAGCTTTAAAAATCCAGATCTTGATCTTATGGAGAAGTATATCTCATCTGAAAGTTGTAATGCTTCCAAAGCAATCTCTGTGAATCAAATTGCTCTGCCTTCAGGGACAAGAGGGAGGGGTCAAAAAAGTCAAGATGGCAACCGCCTCCTTTTAAAGAGGCAGTGCTTCAGTCATGCAGTCATGGCTACCATGATGATTTTTTTAACACTCCCCCTTGCAGACATCTGACTGTCTTCACTCTCAATAATTCTAAACATCAAATTAGATCTCAGATTTTGAACAGACAGTCCTAGATAAATTTGGGAGGGATACACTTCTATATGCAAATTGCAAACATGAGATTTCCACTGAATATTATTATTTTATGTGGGTGTGTGTGTGAGTGTATGTATGTATGTTTATGTGTGTATGTACACATAGATACTCCTTGTTTAGTAACTGCCTCACTTAGCAATCATTCGCAGTTATGACAGTGAAGAAAAGGTAACTTTATGACCAATCCTCGCATTTACAACCTTCACGGGTCTATAAAGCAAAGGAAAGGTGAAGTAAGATTGTAAGCACAGTCAGTTTCATTTAGTGACCACTTCCTTTAATGACTGAATTGCTGGTCCCAACTGTGGTTACTAAACAAGGACTACCTGTAGAAGAATAGGCTTCTGAATTTCTTTCCAAAATCTGCAGTTCTTAATTAACCAAACTTGTTTCAAAAGTCAAATCAATGCACTGGGGATTTTCTGGTTTTGTTTTATTACTAAATTTTACACAATACATGTATAATCCCAGTTTGTTACTGCTTGTAATTCCTTTATAGCAGTCTTTTTCAAACTTGGCCACTTTAAGATGTGTGTCATGTTGGCTGGGGAATTCTGGGAGTTGAAGTCCACACATTTTAAAGTGGCCAAGTTTGAACAAATCTGCTTTACAGCAACCCTCCCTTCCCAATATTGCTTATGCATCTATGTAGATTCTAAGCAGGGGATAGCACCTCCCTGATAACATCTATGCTGTGACGCTGGGCAGAGTCAGGCCAGTTAATACTTGGATGGGAGACCACCAGAGAGTTCCAGAGCTGTAAGCTAGACCAAGAAGTCAAAACATATCCCCAAAGAAGGTGGCGACAAACTACTTCCATCTTCTTGTCAAGAAAAGTGCATGGTTGTGTCCATGCAGCTGTCAGTAGTTGAGCTTCACTCCTTTCATTTACCTTTTTATGTGTTCAGATAAACGCTATAAAAAAGCAAGAGGTACACGTGCATTTCTATAGGACCTTATCTTAAAAAAATCTTGATACAGTCACAGACCTGTATCTGGTTTTCATCAAGATTCCTTGCAGATCCTTTGAGACAGATCACTGCTTCTTGGTAGGGTTTTTGAGCTGGGCCACGCCACAATCCACTGAATTTGCCTACCTTTCTAGCAGAGGATAATCCTAGTTCACTGACCCTAAGTATTATCTTACCTGCTGTTCTGAGAGAAGGGTCCTTTGGAAATAAGTTCTCTATGTTCTCCTCCTCCCCAAGACCGTGGTTTGTAATGTACGGACTGGGAGACAAGAGGCGTATCAGGGAGCCACCTTCCCCAGTCAGAGAGAGACAAGCGGGTGAGTTTTCCTCCCTGGGCAGAGGCACATAGTCAGAAATTAAAACTCATTTGCCAAGGCAGAGAGGAAGCAGCACATTTAAGATTGCATAGTGTGTCACTGCAGCTTGTGTGGGTGACAACGGGATTGACAGGAGGATTGTTAAACTGCAAAGGCAACGCATGCCCTGCGTGGGTTAAATCTCTTTATCCAGGCCTGTCTACTGAGCAGTGATGCGAAGGAAAGGAAAGAAACGTGCCAATAGGAGAAAAAAGAGCTAGCCGTGCATACTTCAATTCTGGAATCAGGTTGTAGCGAAAATGTAATTCAGGAAGAATGGTGAGCAGAGCAGGAAAGAGACTTGATAAAGGAATGCTGCGTGAGAAACCATTCTCCTTAGAAAAAGAAAGAGTACAATAGAAGTAGGGTCATCAGGGATGGTGGGTGGGACTGTGCAGTTGAAACCCCACCCTTTTTTACAGTATGCATAAAAGGAGCATAGCTTTGATTGCACAGGAGTGGGAGCCATACTGACTTTTTTGACCTCCCTATGGATGCGGGTGGTATAGTAGTAGTTTAAAAGTCTGTGGTCACAGCAGATGTGGGACCTGGAAGGGAGAATGATCATGTTGGATTATGGAGATGGGCAGAATGTACTTTACGGTGCGGTACATTTTAAGATGTGTTCGGAAGGTAATAGGAAAAAACCCGCTACGGCGAGTTTCACCCACTCGGATACCAATCCTGAGGAACTGCAGAGTGTGTCCGGATCACAAAGATTAACAAATTTTTCTCCACGCCGCTCACTGTTGGACTGGAGAAGTGCCCACCCTTCTTCGGCGGCTCGGACGGCGCTGTGTAGAAAACATGGTCCGTAATCCAGACGGGTAAGCCACCACTTGAGAAGGGCCCCGGAGTTGTTCATTGCCTCTCATCTCACGGCGGATCTCGGTCAGCGTCTGGGATGGGGATTCGAGCAGGCGTTGAAAGAAGCTCTTTGTCCCCACTGGCTTTTCATGACAGGTAAAAGTCACAGCCGTGCCCTGATCAGACTTCATCTCACGCGAAAAGCCATCTGAGGTGCCAGCAAAGCAGCGCCCAATTGCAATCTCCTTGGCAAGGTGTGGATTCTGGTCAGTCACGGTGTAGATGCCATAGTTGTGGCCCAGTGGATCCACTGGCGCCAACATGGTGAAGGCCAAAGTGTCATTATTTTCTACTACAGGTGGGTGACGATTTAGATACTCCCTCAAGTAGCTGTTGACAGCAGTATGGCGGCAGCTCCCTTGCGGGATGATAGATACTACAGTCCTGTCCACCATTCCTTGGTCAAACAACATCCCACTGCATTTGAATTCAACGCAGGCTGCTGAGCTGTTGTATATGTTAAGGTCCCGGATGCTACGGGAATCCCTTATGCCATACAGTTGTCCCCGAGTCCTTGGATGACTGCCACCCACATTTCGTGACCTCACCATGTATTCTTGAGGCCCATTAATCTTCACTTTGATATAGCAGGCCCGGAATTCTTGAGGGTTAGGCCACCAGGAGAGGTAGTCTCCTGTCCAGCTGGTCAGGTCACTCTCTTTAAAAGGCACAACGTTATATTCATACTTGTCCTCCTCCCCTCGGTAAAATCGGAAATGGTTGGCTGTGACAGGTGCCTGATCACAGTCCTTCAGGTTCCGATAGGCATAAATGGGCCCATTGGTCTCATCAATATTGTTCTGGTTGGGTTTGGCGAGGTTGATCTTGAAGGCTGTCTTCCTTAGCGCAGGGTCCTCATGGTCGGTTCGCTGGTAGCCAAGCTTATTGAGGTAAGGCTGAGAAACGCCCACAGCACGAGGGTTGAGCGTTGGGCTCGAAGGCACAGCCTCCAACTCCTCTCCTCCTATGGTTGCTGTGACATAAGCTGTGTAGGCATCGGCCCTCTGGCTGTCACAGAAAGCAGGTAAGCATGCACCATTGGGACCCGTCACCACACTATCAAATCGACCCCAGGCCTGAGGGTTAGAAGGATAACCAGGTCTGGGCTCAAGATTGACAAGAGTAACAACAACTCCTTCCAGCTGCTCACTAGGATTGAACTTTTCATTGATGTATGTCCGGATTTTCACAAAGCAGCGGCGGTTTTCTGCAACATCCAGATTAAATAGGCGCCTTTCCCGGACTTCCAAGTTGCCAATCAAAAAGGCTCTCTCTTCACGTTTCTTGCGTTTCTTGTTGGCCAACTTGAGGGATGCTTCTTCCTCCCACAGGCCTGTTATAGGATTGAGGGACCAGAGTTTCATTTTCTCTGCATGTTCAAGAGTTTTGATGAGGTCTGCATCCATCTTTACCTCCACACGCCCGATTTCTAAGCTCTGGTGTGTCTCTTCTTCCCAAAAATCCATTGAAAACATGCCATATGTTCTGAGAGGAAAGAGATCGCCTTCTGCATTGATGAAATTCAGGTCACTGGAGGCAGTGCTCACAGTACCAATGTCACGTGGGTCTACAAAAGTAATGCTTGCCTTGACGGTCCCATTGTAGACTTGTCCATCAGGTTTGAAGAAAGATCCAGGTGGGATAATTATCTCTCCAATAGGGTCTTCTCCAGGTACTTCTCCCAGTGGAATGATATTAGTCTCCGTTGATGCCAAGTCAATGGGCTTCTTCTTCCTCATCAATTTGACATCCTGGTAGACAGCCCCACCACGTTGGTCAAATGGGAAAACCTTGACAGCATCTACAAATTTCTGCATCCGATCCACAAACCTGACCACAAGTCTCTTTGTGTTGGGTGGCATCTCTATAGTGAACGTGCCTTTATAACCAGTGAAGCCAATTTTCTCTGCACCTAGATAGATCTCACCAAAGCGGAGGGGTTCACCATCATCAGCTGCTGATGCTTTGCCCTGGACCAGGACTTTGGGCCTAGTACAGGTGGTACAACCACACTCTGCAACCACTTTAATGGGAAGGATGTAACCAATGCAATGGACCTCTCGCACTTCCATGCGTACTGTTCCACAACAGTGCTGCGTAGCATCTTGGCACTGCAGGCCATCTTCAGAGTTTCCAGCACACCGGGTACTGGGGCAATGGCCAACATTGTAAAAGTAGGAACCTGTTGCCTCTTGGAAACAATCATCAGGGAGTTTTATGAGGTATTCTTCTGGTTGGGCTGTACATGCTGGAACATCTGGACCTGAAACAAGAAAAAGAGAGGATAAGATTAGGAGTCCTGTTAGGACCCAGGTGTATTAGAATCATGACATTTAGCAGAGGATATGAATAACAGGCAAAAGTGGATTGCTGAGATACCACAAGAGGCAGGTAGCAAAGTATCCATCTTGGCAGCAGAGAGGCTTCCCAGTCCATCCTTCATTCCTGAGAAGGTAACGCTACATACAAATGGCCTCCAGCACTGAGAAAGAATTCAGTCTGAAAACTTATGGGAGTCCTGTAAAATTCAGAATGTCAGGCTCTTTCTCATCTGCCTAAAGCTGGAAGCGATTGTTTTCTAAGAATGATTCTCACTGAGTTCTCTTTAACAAGATTTATTGAGATGAAAAGAATGGGGTTACAAGAATTCTAAAAACTAGACTATTTCCCATTTAGAACCAATATATCTCCTTGTATATTGTACAATTAGGGAAGAGACTTTCTGATTTTCTTTCTAACAGCCTTTGTGTAAAACAGGAAGGAAGTAGGGATTTTCCCTGATAATGGGGAAGTATATAGTGATCTTCATCAGTCTGGGAACTAACTATTCTAAATTGACAAGTAATCTAACTCAGCAGCAGAGTCGCTGAACCACAAACGATCCAACCTCATTTTAGCCTCATCTAACCCGTTGTTCAAATCCAGGCCAATATGTCCCTGTCAAAATAGGTTGCTTATTCAGAATCAAGAGGATCAGAAAATTGCTTTTTAGAGGAAGAACATTAGGTCTATACACAGAACCTGCTTTGCATGCTAATGATCCTAATTTTAATCCTCAACATCTCCAGGTCAGACTGGGAAAAACCTCTATCAACCTCAATGACTGACTCTCATAGTCATATTTTCTACGCTGGTTACAAGTGTTAGGAGTTATGCACTGTGTAGAGGGCTTCAGATTCCCTAACCCAAGTTCATATTTCAAGGTTCTGCTACCTCCTATCAGTCTACTGGTTGCTCCTCAGAACCAGGAGTACTCAGGAGAGAGCATCTACCATAACTTCAGGGCTGAAGACTGGTTGTTGTATTCATTTAGATTTTTGTCAGGTCTAACCCAAAGCCAGAATTGGATAAGGCCTCACCCTAAGACTACAAATACAGAAAGGCATCTAAGAGAGGGGAATTCAATCATTTCAGATCTATGATGACATTTCCCATCCCTTCCAATTAATCTTAAAAACAGATCATGAATTGAAGTAACACTGCAGAACTGAGGGACAGGAAAAGGAGGAGGAAGCTTAATACTGTCCCTGTCAAGCCAGGAACAACCAGAAACTCAACAAGGTATGTGACAAGAACTATATCTTTATTGTAACTCAAGAATAATAACCATTACAAACAGGTGGTAATCATGGACTATTAAGATTGACTCCCAAACTTATATCTTCCTTGGATTCAAATCCAGCTCTTTCTCTTTCTGTGTTTCCTTCTGAAAAATGGTAATACAGGCTTTCCTTTACCAGTATCATTCATAAGTGACAGCTGCATGTTTACATTTTGTGCATTCCTACCCTGGAAACCTCTAACTATGATGAAAATCTGGCACCCTACTGTACCAGTGTATCAAATGTAAGATTCCTTGGCAATGCACAAAGACCATAAAACATCAGTGGTAAAACGCAAAACATGAAAAATATAAGGATTAAAATAAAAATAATAAACATTCAGTCTAAAACTGAAGCAGGGTATAGAAAATAAAGTGTGGACTTATATCAATTAAAAAAGCACTCCAGGAAAGTTCCATCTTAACTTGTTTCCAGACAATGTTGAGGCCAGCCTGACTACCAAGCAAAGCTATTCCAAAGGATCAGGGTCATGGCAGAGAAACACCTCTTTCTGGGCTCAGCTCCCCCCAATTTCTTGGAATTAGGAATCATAAGCAATTTAGAGCAGCCCCCCCACCCCCCAGCTGTTATTTTCCTGTTAGGAAATACATGCAGCGTAATGGCCTAGTTCACACACAATGCTAAGCCATCATTTGTTTAACCATGATTAACTGAATAGGGGCCTGAATAATGCTTCTGATCTTGTTTTCCTCCTCAGCACAGTTGCTTCTTATTGTATATAAATATAATGCTATTTTACTGTTACAAGAACCAGCTTGGTCTAGTGGTTAAGGCACCAGGCTAGAAACTGGCAGATGGTGAGTTCTAGTCCAGCCAAGGCACAAAGCCAGCTGGGCAACCGTGGGCCAGTCACTCTCTCTCAGCCCTAGGAAGAGGACAAGGGCAAACCACTTCTGAGAGCATGCCAAGAAAACTGCAGGGACATGTCCAGGCAGCTGCCAGGAGTCAGCACTGAGTCAAAAAAAAAAATACTGCTTTGATCTTTCAATTCTTTATAAGCCATCCAGAGTTGTAGGCAAGCCTTAGGAATTAATTAAAGAAATAAATAAGACACACATTATGATTCATATACCATAGTGGCTATGGTCACCCAATACTACGCCAAGCCCAAACAAACCACATTATGCTGAAACTGGATATTACAAGAGGGTCCTGTCACAAAAAACCAACTTACTTATCACTGTCAAATGGGCAACGGAAGATTTGATTGAACTGTGGTCATTGCTGGCTTTGCAGTGGTATGAGCCAGCTTGGTGAGTCTCCAAGTCACGTAGCACCAAGCTGTTGCTATAATTGTATGCTTCCCAGTTCAGGAGCGTTCCATTATGATACCTAGAGAAACAGCAGAAGAGGATGGAAAGGGAAAAAAACCACTTATATTTGGATTGGCAGCAACACCTTCTTCTTTGTTCACTTCCACACACTGTTTCCACTCCCCAAACCCGCAACAGCCAGTCTGCATTAAACCATAATTATCCTCACTGTTTTATGCCTGACCCACTGAGATCTTAGGATGAGGTAAATAAATGTAAGGATTGCCATGATCCAGCTCAGTTCCAACTGACTGTATGAATATGTCCTTTTCTTGGCAGCCAAAGCTGTGTCATTCACTGCTCTCCAGGATGTTCTTCACTTCCCTAGCTAGCCAATAGTCCTTGGATTTCTGGTGTTCTCCCATCCAAAAAAGTGGATCTAGACAAAAGTCTCATTTCCACCCATCAGCTCACCCTGCCATTGGTTTTGAAATGTTTAAAAAAGAGTCCTCTGTTCAGTTTAGAAAGCTGGAGGTGAAGTGGTGGTGTGGCACTGGGGTGCATCAGCTTGAACTAAGGAACCAGGAGTTTGTCTCTTTTGTTATCCTGGCTTCTAAATTGATTTTACATCGGTTCAACCTGCAACTTGAAATGTTCTGCAACCGTGTGTGTGTATGTGTGTGCGTTTGGGTGGGTGGGTGTGCCTGTATCCACAAACACACACCTAAAATGTTCCTTTGTTTTGTACTGGTAGATGGGATATTTTGGTGACATTTTCAGAAATTCTTTGATACGTATTCCCCAATTTTATAATCCCAACTTTTATAGTCTTGTTTCTCAAAGAAACATATATGGAATAGTTTTAGGTATTTGGCCCCATAAAACCTAGCTGGGTTTTGAGGGTCTGGGGGAGGGAAATGCTAGTCCTTCCTGGCAGCCTTTACTGGACGCAGAGCGGTTGAGACTAGAGGCCAGCAAATTTTAACGATTGATCAGGATGTCCCAATAGTCTTCTGGCATCTACTGAAAAGCTCTTTCGGAGGGTTTCAGGTGAGTGACAGGAGGTCCAGGACTGACTGACATTAATTTTTAACAGTTCGTTTTGAGGCTTATGTTTTAATTGGCCTGCTCTCGCTCTGTTTTTAGTCTGATGCTCTTCAGCTGCTGAGAGTCTCCGTTAAGAGTGGCAGGTTTAAATTTGAGAAATAAAATAAGTAAGTTTGAATCTTGCTTTCCCCATGAAATGTTAGACCAGCTGATCGTCCCCAGACTCAGAGATCTGGGCTGCGAAAAACAGTTGATCGCTAGATGGCAGCAATGAGATGCAGAAAACTCTAACTTGGCTTCCACCTAGCAGGCATCCAGACCTGGTCCGCTAGCACTAGCCTCAGTCTTCCCATCTGCAGAATGGTGGATAGCACTGACTTATCATACAGGGATGTCTGTTGGGATTATAGCAAGACAACACCCAAGAAGTTCATGTTTAAAAACAAGAGCGAGATATGCAAGCGCCAAGGTTGTGATCACCTTCCTCCCATGAAGAGAGGACTCTAAGGCAAAAATGGTAGGAGCCAGAGAAACAGGTTAAGTATTTTGTACCCTCTTTTTTGCTGCCTCCATCATTTCAGATATTTATTCTCAGAGAATGAATCAGACAACAGTTCAATTTACAGTACAAGTCGTTCTCTGCCCTCCTCAATTCCACCTTCAACATGACTCACCAGTAATATTTTTGGGGTTCAGGGGTGCCTTGGGCACTGCAGCAGAACCTCACTTTTTCTCCAACCATCCTCGCTTTTGATTCAGGATTGGTCACCATATAAAGTTGTTCTGCCATGGAGGGAAGGGAAGGGAAGGGAAGGGAAGGGAAGGGAAGGGAAGGGAAGGGAAGGGGACAAACAAAAAGATTAATCTGATAAAAGTACATTTGTCTCACCAAAACAGGCAATTTATGGATGATGAGTTTTCCCTACACTTCCTTCAGTGTTTTATGGGTTTGCTATGTCTCCAACTTGGCTACCCAACTTCCAGTTTATCTAGGATATTTTCCAACATTAATTCCAGAACTGAACCACGTGCAGTTTGTCACAGTTTTCATGACTTTCAAGGAAGTGTTACGCCACACAGTTTATATCTGGCAGGTATAGTCACACAATACCCTATTTAACAAGGTTGGAGGGTGGGTTCTGGCAGTTCAATCTCAGCCTGCTTTGGGGTGGCTTTATGGGCCAATCTATTGAAAGAACTCAGAAAATGGGTGAATCCAGTAGCCAGGTCCAGTGCCTTTTGCCAGAGTTCAGTTAAAACGCTCTCTGCCCAACTCTGAGCATAAACCCTGCGGTCCCCACTGCCGATCCTGGTGCCGCCTCTGTAGCCTCTGTTCCAGCTCACTGCCAGATGCTGGTGTCCTGATCTCACATGGGCAGGGAATACTGGGCAAAACTGTTAATTAGTCCCAGAGGTTTAGCCCTCTGTCAAAACCTGGTACCAGCTGATCTACAGGATGGGTGGGGGCTGCACAGTAAAGCAGCCTTCTTGTGTTTATTGGGTGCCTTCTCCCACCCTGCAGACCAGGTCTAGGCCCTGCCCGGTAAGGTAGGAGAAGCTGCATTACTGTGCAGCCCCCACCCTGCCTGGCAGCCTGATCAGTTGTCCTGACTCAAAGATGCCGCCTGCTAGCAAATGGATGAGAGTTGGGGGATGTCTGGTAAAGCGGTTTTTATCACGCAGCCCTCCCATCGTACCCACGGTTTGGTGGCTTGTTTTGATATAGCCCTTTGAAAAGAAGACAAAATCACACTCAGAACAAGCCATCCATCAGTCGTCCGGAGGCTTGTTTTGAGAAAGGGTTTAGCACACCAAGCCCGATCTCAAAAAAGAAGCCACCAGCTGATGGGCAGCTTATCTTGCATACTCAATGTCAGGCCTAGCCCAAGGAACTCCAAGAGACCATGCCAATTCAGTCCAGCTATGTTTATTCGCTACAACCTCTAGAAAAAATCTTCCAAGACAAAAACCCCCTTTCCCAAAGCCCTCCAGCCACAACAGTGTGAATTCCTCAGGGAGGTGCCAGTCTCATTCTCTTGTTCCTCCTATGCGGTTCTGGCGAGCTAAGAAAATGTTTATCTTCCTGAGCTTGGCCTTCATAATTCCATTCCATCACACTCAAGCCGTTTACCATGAAGTTCCCCTCCCTGTCCATTGGCTGTCTGGAGCTGCAAGTACAAAGCACCCGATGGCTATGTGCCGTTCTTCAGGAAAGAAAGAAAGGGAAGAGGGCTCCAAACCCCCAGGGAGGGATGTGCACAGCACCATCCCAAAGTGTCCAACAGATGACAGGTTTATCCTGCCCTCTTTGAGTCACCTGACTGTGCCACCATTAACATGGATGGAGAAGCGCAGTAGCTCCTCCTCGCTCTTAAACTGGCCCTGGTTGCTCTTGCGTTAAGAGGAAAATACTCCTTTACAACTGGAATGACTAAAGATGGCTTAAGCCTGTCCCAGTCATAGGCTGAGGTTAAAATTAAGGCAAAGTCATGGGCAGAAAGCAGAAAAAAAGAAGTTGAAAGGGCATCTTCATACTGGGGTTATTGCAAGTGGAAAGACCCTGTGCACATTCCAAGAATGCCACCATTACAAAAAGGTATCTCCTTTTGCTTGGCCCGAAGTCCCAATCAATCAATTTTATCAGCTTATCAGGGAGAAGAGTGTTTCTCTATCCATTAGGCTTGAACGTTTACAGTTTTAAGATCGGCAATCATATTAAATGCCGCCCAAGACTCACCGTTCCTGCAGATCAAACTCCTCTTGGTGCTTCATGGAGCTTTCTTTCCTGCGAGCTGCAATCTCCCCCTATTTTCCCATCCCAAGCCTGGCTCCCCATTGCACTTACCGAGTCTGTGGAGTACAATCTCCACCGAAAAGGTCCCAGAGCCACTGATGGCTGTTGAGGCACTACCTGGTGCAAAGCGCTCGAGCTTAGCAGTGATGTTGGTGCTATTTCCAGCACAGATGCCACGGATGGTGAACTGACCCCTACGATTGCTTTGGGTCAAGGGGGCTAGAGGTTGGTCTGGGAGGGATATCTGGGCACTGGCAAGGGCCAACCCATTTGCCACCCGTACAGTGCCCAAGAGTGTGTGGTTGGGACAAATGCAGCGCGTACAGTCCTTGTTGGGGATGCCAGTGGCGCAGCTGAGCTGGCAAGCTAGGAAGAGAGAACCAAGAGGGGACATTAAGAGTCAGGGCCTGTTGAGAAGGGAAGGAGCAAATGGAGACTTATATGGAATTCTGGGAGTTGAAGTCCACACGTCTTCAAGTTGCCAAGGTTGAGAAACACTGTACCTTATTCCATAAGCTCCATGCCTGCCTCTTGATCCAAAGAAGATCGTGCCCACACAGGCTGGTACCATACAATTGTTTAAAACAACCTGATTAAAAACCTAGCAACCACATTTGCCCACTAGGTCAGGAGTGTCTGCAAAGTGAGAGTAAAAAGGCAAGATGGTAGGTGTGACTGCACAATTGAAGCCCCACTCTGCATATACAAAGGGCCGAGTCTTTGTGCAGGAGCAATAGACATCTCGGCTCACCTATGCCCTCAGAAGATACTCCTAAGCTTACTTAGTTTTATGCATGGTTAGATTTTCACGCTTAAGAATGCCATGCAACCACAGCTTGTTAAGTTAGCTTGTGGTTCAAAACATTGTACAATTCAGAAACAGGGTTTCTCTTCAGTGACTGCAGTCTTACTGGACAATAACATGCTTCCAGATTTATCCAAAGGAATTCCTGTTGGGAATTTCTGTATTGCCTCCATTCTCATCCTTCAGATTTCAAGCATTTGCTCTACCGAATTGTTCAAATTAGTTCTACAACTGGAACATATCCAGTTCAATTAGTTGGCATTTATACTGACACAAACTGGTTTGTATTAATAAAACAATGCAAGAAAAAAAGTAGAGTTTAAACAATTGTATTTTTGTGTGTATGTATGCTTGTGCATGGTGGATTTTACTGTTGCATACAAGTGCTGCACAGCGAAGGAAGGAAGGAAGGAAGGAAGGAAGGAAGGAAGGAAGGAAGGAAGG